TTTCTTTCTGTGGTGGTGGTGGAAATCATATCCAGGACCCTGCACACCTATCCCAACCCCCTGGATTATCTTTAACCACTTACCAGTCCAATTATTTAAATACAGGATGACCAAAAATTACATATTTTTTCATTAATTTTAAAAAATAACAACTTTAGGGCCGGGGATTTAGCTCAGTGGTTCCGCTGCCTGCTGCGCAAGCCAAGGACCTGAATTTGATCCCCGGTACCAAAAAAAAAAAAAAAATAGCAACTTTATCAAATTTATGCAATACAAGAAACAACGGGTTGAAACGATGCCACCCCCAGCAACCCTCAGGATAAGTAAACAAATGCACTGCCTGAGTGATGCTCCGGGTAAACTGTTAAGTGTTTAAGCCAAACTAAGAGTAAAGAAAGTAAAGGGACTGGATAAGACCTCCATGTGAAGACTGTAAGAGTCCAGGAGGGGGAAGAAAGCCCAAAAACTGACCTCCAACATCCCTCTACCCACACACTCACACACACACACAGAACCCACTATTGCCAGAGATGAGCACTGAAACATTGGTTCCAAATTTTAAAATCTGCAACAACCTATTTTTCTAGACACAGAGAAAAGTTCTTTTCCCTATTCAAAGGAACCAACCAGCTGGGGTAACTCAGAGATGATAAAAAGCCTTCCAGAATGTGAGCTAGAGCAGTAGCACAGGATGGTTAGGATTCCTGCTCTGCCCTCACTGTCTATGGCCCTGGGCGAGTTGTTTCCCGTCACCGACAATCAGGTTCTTCTGCAGGACTCACCTCTGCTTGTAGGTCATCGCTAGATCTTTCCAATAGTTTGCTTCTTCTTCCTCGGAGCTGAAAGTCTTTCCCGAGTCCTCCATTGTGAAAACGGGGAAGAGCTCACTCTTCTTGTGGCATGGTGTCTAGGACAGAAGGTTTTAAAATTACTTCTCATATCTGGGTAAACAGCTAATCTTTAATGGAAAAAAATCCCTCTACTTCACGCTGAATTAAACGACAAAATACTGCCCCAAACTGAAACTAAACCCAAACCAAAGGCAGTACACCACCAGCTGCTACACTCGATGGCTTACTATCAAGGCTTATGTATATCCCTCCACAAATATTTATTGTGCACCCACAGTAAGACCCAAGGGTCAAACAAGATGTCTCCAACATCACTGTTTTCCCTCCAGGGGCCTTGTGGGGGACAGAGACATCAACTATATGTATAAACCGTATGGTGAGTGCAGTGATAGAAATAGGAACAGGATAGCAACACATAGTAAATTACCTGTATTTAGAGTGTGTATTTGAATTGCCTGTATTTAGAGTGTACATTTGGTCTGTTCAGACTTATGCATGCACCCAAGAAACCACCACCACAGTCAAGGCAATAAGCATTCCTGCAGGGCCCAGGGTACTGAGGAAGTCCCAAACTCAGCCTGAGTCACAGAGGGATTCCAGGGAGGCGTGATGCATGAGCAGCAATGAAAGAACAAAGAGGAAGCCAGACGGAAGGGGAAGAAAAAGCACACTAAACACTTGGGAAAGGGAAGAACAGCCAGGCTTATAGGAGGAGCTGAGAGTGCTGGGAGGATGAAGACTGAGGAGGCTGGGCAGATTAAAATAGAGAAACTGTATCACTGGGGGCTTTTCTGACATGTTTAAAAAAAAGACAACTCAGTGGCAGTGGGAGCCACTTCGGGATTCTGAGGGAGAGAGTGACACAGTGGGATCTGAACAACTCATCCCGGTAGCCACGGAAGGGCTGGGCAGGGCCAAGACCTCAACTGTGCAGCTTCTGCAGCAAAGGAAGGAAGGTGGCCTGAATGACATGTGGCAGTGAAGACAGAGGCAGGAGGAATGGATTCCAAAAATATTTAAAATGCAAAATCAGCCAAGCATACAGAGCAACCTGCCGTCCCAACCAGGTACTTAGGAGGCTGAAGCAGGAAGATCACTTCAGCCCAGATGTCTGAGACCAGCTTCGGTAACACTCCAAAAAATTAAAATTACTAGCCATTTGGCAATTTATTGAGGGTGGGGAGATTTAGTAAAAAAAAAAAAAGAAGGTGGCAACGTCTCCTAAGACTTGAGCTTAAGTAACTAGGTACCTCTACCATCCCTATCACCAGAGATGAAAAATACCAGAAGGAAAACTCTTGGGTGGGTGGGCTGGGGGAGATACCAAGCCTAGTTTGGGATGATTTTGGTTTGACAAGCCCATGACACATTTAGATGCAATAGTGGATCTGAAACTCAGGGCTGGAATCTGAGCCAACCGACTGAGTCACACGTCTGTGGTTGGTTCTGCAGAACCATCAGGGAATCTCACCGAGACTGCAGACGGACCTCCAGGGACCGCAGGTATCAGAAAAGCAGACGGCAGAAGAAAATACAGTGGCAGACGAAACAGTGAGAGAGGTGAGACCCAGAAAGAGGGATCTGCTTCAAGGGCAAAGGGAACATCCCACAGCGAGGCCGCGGAGAAGCTGGTGTGCACGGAGAGTCGCCAGGGGTTAGCGTGAGCAAGCGGTTTCCACCCGTGGAGGAGGGTGGAGAGTGACGCTGGGCAGAGGGGGGCTGGGGGGTGAGGAGGAGGAAGGAGATGGAATTTTGGAGAACTGAGCTAAGAAGAGAGGGAGACAGACTCAAGAGGAGCAGGAGCGTGTGTTGGGATCTTGGCTAGGACTCTGGATTGTCGGGAGCAGAAGTCAGGGAAGTGAATTTCTAGGAATAGTTGGGCCAACAGTTATATATTGCCTGCTATCTAAGATAGCCTCAGACATCATAGCTTGCCAGCTGACTTGGAGGCCTTCCGCTTGTTCAAAACTCACTGGAGGTCAGGTTTGGTCCCCCAGCCCTGCAATCCCAGCAGTCTGGGAGGCTGAGGCAGGAGGATCACAAATTCAAACCCAGCCTGGACAATTTATTGAGACCTTGTCTCAAAACATTAAGAAAAAAAAAAAAAAAAAGGCCAGGGATTTAGCTCAGTATGAAGGACCTGAGTTCATCTCCCGCACCTCTCACCCTTGCCAAAAGTCACTAGCAGCCAGGCATAGTGCCATGTGCCTATAATCCCAGCACTCTGGAAGGCTGAGGCAGGAGGGTCACAAGTTTGAGTCCAGCCTGGACGACTTCACAACTTACTGAGACCTTGCCTCAAAAAGAAAAAATAAAAATAAGAAAAATAAAGAATAAGAAAATAAGAAAAGAGCTATAGATATAGCTCAGTGCCAAGGGTCTGGATGGCTCAACCTCCAGTACCATGTCAAAAAGATAGGTCACCAGGAATCCAAATACAGTGTCACCAAGGTCCCTGGCTTCCTTTGAGGAAGTTCACGGACTCTTCTGTTTCCTTGGGACAGACGAATAAAGCAAACCCAATGCTTATCAAGACACAAGATGCTGCATTTTTGGTTAAAAATACAATCATTAGGCTCTTCTCTCCCTCCTAATTTTCTTCTTTCTCTAGTAAGGAGGAAACACGTTTCCTCATCTCTACTTCTCTACCTCGGGGAACATTTTGTCTGAAAGCTTGATCAAGGCAGAAAAGCTAGATGGAGTAGAGGGTGGCTGATCTGTGGTTTTAGTTGCTCACTGTTCCATCTTTCTAGGACACCACCCCAATATCTTCTTGGGGGACCGGACCTCACTCTCCCTGCACAGGACTCAGATGGACACAACATCACCTGCTACATCTGGGAGAAAGTACAGGGCCACTCGTGCGCGCGTCCAGCATCGGGCACCGGCGAAGGGCTGGGCCTGACCCAAGCCCAGCCTGTTAGTGTGGAGACCCAGGCCTCCTGCAAAGCAGTCCAGGCACAGACTCTGCCGGGGTGAAAGGTGGTAGGAGGCAAGCCTGCAACTCTCAGTGGTCATCTTCCGAGCACAGGGGCAGTGCCCGTGGAATGAAGCCAAGAGAGTGCAGCACTGCCAAGGAAGGGGAAGACGGTCCTGACAATATCGTTTCCATACCTGGACCCAGTCATATCAGACTTGAGGTTATGAAAGAGAATCAGTTTCCAGTCTTGGTCAAGCCACTGAGTCGGCTTTCTGCTACAAGTGAGATCGAATAAACATAGGAGGGCTGGGGATTTAGCTCAGTGGTTCCACCACCTGCCTTACCAGCTCAAGGTCCTGAGTTTGATCCCCAGTACCAGAAAAAACAAACAAACAGGGTAATATAGTGAGGAATTAGAAACAAATGTAAACGGACTTTCTCGAAGTTTAGAGAAAGATTATGTACAAGGTCCAGTGTAATCAGTCTCACACCCACTTCTCCAAATATCTCCTACTTGTTTATGTCCAGTCACACTGTGTGTCTTCTCTGGCTTGAACATACTGAGGTCGCTTTCACCTCAGGGCCTTGGCACTTGCTGTTCTCTCAGCCTGCACTGTTTTCGCCTCAGATCTCGGTCCAGCAGGTTTCCCTCCTGTCATCTGGATCTCGCATACTCCCCCAGGGCCATATTTAAATATCCCACCGAAGAACCCCTCGGGCTCTTACTATGGTACTAACCCTGCTTTATCTTATTTCATCACTTTCTGAGTTTGGTATTTGTTTATCTTCCCTAGGTCAAGTTTTGAGTAGAAAGACTATCTCCTTCTTCCTTTTTTATCCCCAAAGCCTAGCTAGGACAGTGCTTCGGAAATAAAAGGCATCCAATAAGTGAAAGGAGGGAAAGATGGCACCTGACCACTAATGAAAGGCGGGAAGCACGGGCAGGATGAAGAGGCGAGGCCCCTGAAGGCTTGTTTACATCTGCAAAGCCCTAAGCAGCTCCTCAGAGAGCTGAGGGGAATCTACCTGTCCCCCCTACACACCTGAGTGATGTTAATGGAAGAGCCTGGTTTTGAACTTCAGGGACCGAGGAGAAGAAACTGCAGACACCTGGACTTACATCACAGCCCGCAGTCTTTTATACCAACTAACGGACAAGAAGTACACAGAAATGCCATTTCAACCAAAAACCTATCATTTAAAAACAAAACTAAGGGAAGAGCAAAAAACATGCTAGAGACAGAGAGGGAAGAAGGAACAGCACCACCTTACTTGGTTATGAAACAGCAGTCTTAAAAAATATAAGGTTTTTTCCTTCGCCATTTGGAAATGTCTCAGAAAATGCACTACTACCTCACAGAACCCAGACAAGATGACTTCCAAAGGTTTCCCTCTTTGAGGGTATTTACTGAATTTAATCAACCCCTCCTACAGTATTTGCTGTGGGCTGGGCATTTAATAAATTCTTTTTGAACAACATTAGCCACTTTAAGCTGTTCTTCTCTGAGAGATAAACAAAGCAGTAACTGTTTCTTAGAAGCAGACACCGGAGCAGGAACTCTGGATGCCTAGGTCTTCTCCAAAGGCGCAGGGGAGGGGCAGAAGCACCCAGCCCCAGGTGCAAGGTGTCTCTGAATTCAAGTTCAAGCCCTCCCAGGAGCTGCAGACAGACTGACCAGAGGGCAGATTCCCTTGTGTTGTCTGCCCTGCAGTCTTTTCAAAAGGCACTGAAACAGATAGGTATGTGTTAATGCCTGGTACATAGCTTTGCACCTGCTGTTACGTTCGTGTATTTCATCTGTATGCAGCTAGCTAACTTGGACTGTCAATTCATCACCATGCCATCACAACCCAGCAGCTGTGGGCAAATCTGGTGGGAGCCTGAAATATATGCTACTACATTCAAAGAAGAAAAATGAACTCTGATCTAGTGGTACAAAAAGTATCTGTTTCATCTAACTTGGTTATATACTTTCTGTGGTACAAAAAGTAACTGTTTCACATAACTTGGTTATATACTTTCCCTAAAAATTCCTTGAAGCTTCTCTCCCCACATTTTGAATGATTAAGTCTAACAGGAAAGTCTAAACACATACTTGAGACATACATTTCTGATTTCAATACTCTAGAAAAAAC